CCACTCTTCCCCAAGCCTGTAGCGCTGCATGGGGTTGTTGTGACCCAAGTGCAGGACCCGGCACTTGGCCTTGTTGAACCTCATACAGTTGGCCTGGGCCCATCGATCCAGCCTGTCCAGGTCCCTCTGCAGAGCCTTCCTACCCTCGAGCAGATCAACACTCCCGCCCAACTTGGTGTCGTCTGTTTGTTACATCTATAATCAAGTTTACCTGAATCTATCGCGAACCCACTTTTCAGAATACTAATGGTGAATCAGCCTAATTTTTTTTTTTTGAAAGGTGATAAAACATTTACTCTAAAGTAAATACCAGGCTGGTGAGGTAAATATGCAATCAACCAATTTAGGCATGCATTTTTAGTGAAGGGAAGATGCGACAGTGAAGCACTTGCTAATGGGCTTGGTAGAAAACTTACTGCATAAAAAAAAAATTAAAATATGTTGTGGAAGTACACAGCACTTTGCCAAGCCTGATCAAAGTTAGAGCTGTATGAATTAATTTATAAAGTGAAAACTTGAGTTATTTATAGATGTGAGATGAGTTTGGCAATAGTTTAAGTCCAGAGAGTTAAAACTTTCCTTTGAAAAAGTCAGAATGTTTTGAAAACATTTCAATCTTTATTTTTACAGCAAATGTTCTGCAAATCTCTCACGCTTCCCCTCCCACTTTTTTAAGGTTAAAATAAAAAGTCAAGAAGGACTGTAAATCAAAACAAAATGAATCTATGGTATTTTAGATGAACCAAGATAAAATTTCCTAAGATCTGTTTCCCTTTGGGAAAAAGAAACATTTGAGTACCAAGACAACTCCAAATAATTCCCCCCTTCTCATGTTTGTTTTTTTATTTTTGACTATAAAACCACATAATTAATTGTTTATACACTACTAATCAAGGCCCATTCCCAACCTAAAGGAAATTACAGTCCGAACAAGACATGGGGTGAAACAGGGAAAAGAGCAGGTTGGGTTAATAAGAAATGGTGAGAATAAATTTAATGTGCTAAATTATTTTATAATTTTAATCCCAAGGGCAATTTACATCAAACAATTGTTCCTTCAAAGGATTTCTGGGCCTTCTGTCTCACAAACTTGTCTGGCAAATATATGGATAGAGAAATAGCTCACACATTTTGAAACGAGACATGAAAAGATCTTTTTTTTTTCCTTTCTCTGCCTATTTCTGATTAAAATATATGCTTTTTCCAAAATCCAGCAAGAGTGAACACTGAATCGATGACTTCTTACAGGCAAAGGCTCATCCCCTGCCCTCCAAATCTGTCCCTGAAGTTCACCCAACTCATGGTTTTTCCTGCATTGCATTTAACAGTGACGGTATAAACTCAAGCCAAGACTTCTGCTTTCTTCACATCATTCCCCTTTGCCGTCTCTTTGCAGCTGAGTTTCTGAATAGGTTTCTCCCTGCTGAATGCCATTTCCAATCTCTTTGAAAGAGACGGGGTTTTGTGCAGCACCGTGCGTAATAGGACCTCAATTTCGGCTTGCAATTGCCATAGCAATGAAGCAAGGTGTTCCCTCCAAGTTGAGAGCGTGTTGGTGACAAGGGGACACTGTGTTATGTGACCCATTGTCCAGCTCCTGGTTCCTTTTTTTGGAATGCAAATTGTCATTTGCACATTTTATGATTGAGGCAGTTCATGAATTACACGTTGTAAGGAGTCCACGATTAACCACCTGAACATTTATAGCCACTGTTGTATTACAAACACAATATAATTAGGTCTGACTGAGGAGAAACCACTTGGGGGAAAAAGTCTTGTCATTAGGAATTTCCTGCTTCTTAGCTCCTTGATCTCCTAATCTGCATCAGAGATTTCGTTCTTATTTGATTTGGTTTTTGTTTTGCTTTGAATTAGCATGAGCCAGGAGGCAGGCCATGTGAGAATGGAGGGAAGAAACCTTATAAGCACAGATCCCACTGCTCTTGGCATGAATATTAAAACTGCCATCTTCCTGCCCTAGATAGCTGTTGGTGTGAGGTTAGTCAGGCAGGGTTCCCAGAGCATAAAGAAGCAGAATTCCTCCTGATCATCAGAAAAAATTAGTTTGTTTTTTTTTTAAGGAAGGCATGGAGGGAAAGGCTGTTTTTTTTCAGCAGGCTCTGGGTTACACTTCCTTCTCTCAAGCAAACATAAAATTAGGCTGGGTATATATCCCCATTGTGCAGTGGCCCAGGGGAACTCAGGTGGCCATGAATCCCCGGGAACGCATCTCTGAGGATAGATGGGTTTTGCTCACTCTCTTCTTCTCTGCCCTTTCTGCAGGCATCCAGCACACGTCCGGAGTGCATCATCATGCAGGAGATTGAAGAGGAGCGCAGCCAGTGCTTGGCAGAGCTTATTGGGGATAACCAGACTTCAGGTATGGGGATGCTCTCTTCTCTCCCTGGCCTGCAAGCCAACATCAGCCAGCCTCACATCTGCCTTGCCCATGCCATTTCTCACCCGTTCTGCTGCTCGAGCAGGGCAGTCACTCCAGCTGATGTTGAGCTCTTACATTAGGAGGGAGAGAAATAGGTACTTCCAAAGTCTGATTCAATCAACCAAGAGTTTGAATAGCTCGCTGGGGATCACTTGCTGCCTCCCAGCCAGGTAAGCCTAGCTTAGGTGTCTCAGTCTCCCATCTCTCTGAACTGGAAGTGCCTTAACCAATTTTTCCCTGGGATCTGAAAGCCTGAAGTTCTCATAGGCCTTGGTTTGCTTCAAGAGAAGTTATGGCGACCTTCTCCTTCCATTGAATCCCATCCCCATGCCAAAATTCCTCCTGCCCCGGTGGCGAAGCAGAGGAAGGAAGGGTATGCTCCAAGGCTGCAAGGTATCTATGAATTTGGGCCAGGCAGCTGAGATCTTCTCCTTGTTCACGTGACATGGAGCACACAACACACTGGGCAGTCCTCCTGGAAGGCTCTCCGGTCCCCTTAACCCACGCCCTGCTTCAGTGATCAGGACAGGAGGGCCAGGTCAATGATGCCACCTTTGCTCTCCGGCCTTACAAGGTTTCTCCATCCCGGCCTCAGGCAGCAGCCATGGAGCTGTGCCTCCCTCGAGGAGCAGGCCTGGCACACCACGCGTTGGGCACGTGGGGTTTCAGAGCAGGAGAGAGGCTGCGGGGTGTTGCTGTGAGCAGAGGAGCTGCAGACCAACCTGCGAGACAGGACACGGGTAGGTGATGTTGAAAGGGTCTATGCTAACACAATTCCCCAGCGGGCAGCCTGCAGAGAGCTTGGGAGATTTTGATACAGCCACCCATGCTCAGTCTTAAATTGTAGAGATCAGTGTGGCAAAGAAAGCAAGCTTTTGGTCTTGGTGCTGTCCCACCCCATCACGTCCCATCCCATCCCACAGCAGTGCTGTCAAAGCCCCAAGTTGAGGCATCGAGTTGGACCTCTCCCCCTCCAAGTGCCTCTCTCAACTTACAGGTCCTGGGTTTGTGGGTAAAGGAGGTGTAGGGACCAGTGGCAGGCTGTCAGGCTCCGAAAACAAGGGATCGCATTGCTGGGGGAAGGGGTGGGAAGATACGTATCCTGCTTGATATTTGCATCCCACCTCCCAAAAGAGGAAAAAGTGGAAGAGGATGTCTTCTCATCCTCTCTCTCTTGGCATTGCTTGCAGTTAGGCTACAGACAGGACGACTGTTCTACCCAATGCTTATTAACGATAGAATAGCATCCTGGGGACAAGCTGATCCCTGGAGGAGCTTTGCTGGATGCAAGGATGGCTTTTGGCCCCTGCTTTTATCTACTAAGATATGGTTTTTCTTTGGTTCGGAAATTATTTCAAGTGTGCCTGTACAGTTAAATGGAGTCGTTTGAAGAAATGTTCTCCTGGAATCCAGTAAAGGGAAAAGTCAGGGTCATTAAAAACATTCGTCTGAAAGCCAACTAAATGCTTCATTTCATTTTTATGGACATTTAAAGAAATTCAATTAAATACAGTACATTCAAAATAGAAGAATAAATACTTGAAGTGTTAATATTTTCTTTCTGCTTTTTCAAAATAATTTTCCTCATTGGAAAGTTTAATCCAAAACAGCTTTTTTTATCTCTCCAGTGAATTAAACCACTGAAAATATTTTTCCGGATTCTGATGTAAAAACACACTCAGTCATTTTGCAAACCCTTAATGCCCAAGCACTAGCAAGTATAGAAGAATCCTTTGGGGTTTGTTTTTCGTAATGGAATGCTGAAATATTGGACTGGGATAATTCTGCATTTCCACCAGTCACTACCCATAGTCATTAAATGGGACTGATTCAGAAATCGCAGTTGTGAGCACTATAACATGTTTTTTTGTCCGTGGAGACAGTACCTGCTACTCCTGAGTTAATGTCAGATGTCGTTTGTGTATGTCTGCATGTCCTGGGTAGAAGTGGTCATTGATGACATCAGCGTGGAACAAGTGCGTGTAGGGACACAGAGTGTGTCCAACCAAATTTTACGAAGCAAACTGTGTGGAAAGCACTTGGCATCCATTTGCCCCAAAACATCAGCAGGTATTTAAGAGCTCAATACCCGACTCTTCGCTAGGCACTCACGGCTGCCCTTGCCATCAACAGAAAGAAACCAGCACCTCTAAAGTGTTGTCTCTCAAATGGGTGACAATGGGTGAATCATCTTATGGAGAAGTCTGTTTTGAAAATGGTGTGGACAGGTAACTTCAAAGTGTCTAATTGGCATGTCCTTCCCCCTTGGAGTGTTCAAGGCACAGCATGTGAGCACATGTAGGTAGAAAAAGGTGTTTTTCTGGAGTGGAGCTCCATAACTCGATAAATGTAGCTGAGCACAGCTGCAAAACAAAACTTTAAACTTTGACAGTTGGGGATAAGGGGGAAGTTTAGTGGGGAGAAATCTTAGGCAGGTGATGATATGAGATCATATGAAGGTGATGACTGTTTAGTCCGAGTGTTGCTGGGAAAAAAAAAATCCTAGTAAAACTCCCAGGAAAAATGTAATTTTAACACGGTTCAGTCCCTCAGAGAAGGAGAATGGAAAGCAATTGAGATTCCCTGCCATCCATAATGTAATACCTTGATTTATGGCCAGGTAGGTGTATTGCCTTCTGCGCGTTCCACATCCTTTTAGCGAAAAGAAAATCACTCGAGGTTTAACAACCGATTTGTTATCCTTTCTAATTAAATGAGTGGAAACAAGGAAACACACCATCTCGGTACAGTCTGGAAATAAAGCTTTGTTTAGAAGCCATTATCAATTGTATTGATCAGAGGGGCTTAATCACAGATGTAATTTGATGTGTCAGATAGATTAGTCACTTATTAAGAACACCTGATGGTAGCGCTGCGATTGATCACCGGCTCAGGATAAGCAGGTAGATTTCCACTGATAAACAATAACGTTTGTCTTAACGCTCTTTTGTCTTCGAACACCCATTCCTTATAGTGGGTGTATATGCATGGGTGAAATCGATGCTTTCTTTCCAAATTAAACCTCTGTGTTTTCAGTGCTGGTAGTAGGTGCCAATTGCTGGACCACAGGACTGCTGTTTATTATTAGCAGGATGGGAGTCTCTCTATTCCCTGGTAGGAGTGTGTTTCAGTATCCGTGAAGTTACCCACATTTGAGGAGACTTTAGCGGGGACACAGGAGAGACACGGGGGTCACAAAAGCGCGACCACCTCTGATGAGAAGAGGTTAGCTTTTCAGCACAGGAAGGGCTGCAGAAGATGCAGCTAGGGAGAAAACAGCAGGGAAGACCAGTTTAAGCTGGCAGTGTGTACACAGGAGAATAAAACGGCTGTGAGATCAAAGTCTGGACTTTAAAGGAAGTTTGTAACCATCAGAGGAGACTGAACAGCCTTTCTGGAGGTCTGCAGGAAGGAGTGTTTTATTGACTTCATGGCAGAGCTTGCCCAGTTTATGAAAGGGTGTGTAGGATGCAGCTGTGTATTGCAGCACAGGACTGGATTTCATGAGCGGGACTGCCCTTGCAGTCCTCTGCCCTGTTATCCTTTTACCTCCATGCTGAAATAACTAGTAAAGATGTAAAGTGACGATTGTGATTCAATACAGAAGTGGATTCTTTACCATTAAAATCAAGACTAAGTAGATTGAGACCGGTTTGTTTCACACGGACAAATAGCCATTGCATGGGAATGACTTTTCGTGAGGGATTTCTCTCACTTGATTTTAGGTAGCTCTAGCGTGTTCTGGCCAAGTGTAGGCATCTCTTTTAGGATGTGGTGAATCATGTTCAGATTGTCTTGCCTGTTGACGAGATCTTCGTTTACTATGAGGGGATTCTTAGTGAGCAGCTCAGCTGTGTTGGAAATAACCACACTTCGCAGATGATGCCTGTCCTGGTGTTCACTGGCTTGGAGGGGATTTGGCCAAATGAGGTGAAGTCCCAATTCCATCATTAGGAGTGATGAATCTGTTTGTTCACATACAGAATTGCATTTCAGGAAGCTAAACTTTCACTTGGGTATGTGTTAGATGATCTTTCCGATCCTTTGCCCCCCCCCAAAGAGTGCTCACAATATAATCTGAGGCATTATTAAAAAAATCTTTTGAAAAACCTGTTACTGTGCAAGTGGCAGGATTCTTCCCTGCTCAGTGCAGGGGATGATGTACAAAACGCCTCGTCTCAATCTCAGTGCAGACTGCGTTCCTAAAGGACCTAAAACTCAAGTCAGTGAGATGCCTGCACCATTTCTGTGAAGTGAGAGAGAAGACTTTTTTGCTGGGTTTTGACATGCTGGAAAAGAAGTTTTGGTTATTCCTCCCCTTATCACACAGCTAAGGAGAAAATGCTGCATCACACACAGACATACCTGGGTGTTGGACTAGTGAAATTTGTAGTTTTGTTATGTGTGAGATGTTTGTGAATCCACATCCATTAGCTGCGGATGCCTTAATTTCCCACCCTAAGCATGTTTTAATCCCACTCCATGCTAGTCTAACAGTTGGTCTCCCCGCAAACTTTGCCTTACTTGATATCCATAGATTATTGCAACTACAGCAGCACTGTTGCTGCAGTTAGGGTGACTCCCTGGGTCTCTTGGCCTTAGTTTTCCTCCTTTAAAACAGAAATATTAATATTTTCCTATCTAGCAGGGGTAAGGTAAGGACAAACAAATTGAAAAGTGTCCAGCTCTTTTACGATTGGGACTTATAAAAGTACTGTGGGTAGACAGAGGAATAGGAAATGCAGTATTTTGGCAGCACCCACAATTTGAATTCACAGGAAGCTACTATGTGTCTGGGGAGAAACAACACCCCAAAAGAGAAAATACACGTCATCCAGGTTACGTTGCCTCTTCTCTTTCTCCGCCTTTCTTCTCCCAAATATATCTCTACATAGTATCGTACATCAATCTGCAATGGCTGCGGGTGCAGATTTTTGTGG